ACTCAAGGTGACTCCATGCATTCCTTGAGCAATTCCATTCAATTGGTTCATGATTTTCATCATGAAAATATTTTTCATGATATCCACCCTATTCACCCAAAATATCCATAGCATTTCTTCCTTCTACAGCAGGACCCCAAACATTCTTCTTTTCATCCGTGCAGTTGCCCCTTATATAGTATTCTGAATAGTATGCAGCTTGAACTTTGTATTTATCTATTATTAGGAATAATATTATAAAAAGCAAATTTCTGCATACATGAAAATTAGCTCAATATGCAGTTCCTCTTCAAAGGTACCAGCATACTTATCTGCTCTTCAACCAAGTACAAGCAGAACTCCCTACTTGCAGCTACAGCACAAGGATCTGAGCAAAACACATCTCTTTACACCAACCAGTGCAATAACTCACATTTCTAAGCGTACGTGACCACAAACTTCATCATGTGGTCAGTTTAATATAAGCTGAGAAGCTGCAAGGACAGAATGTGAAGATTTAGCAACTATTACACATGGGGAGATGCTGAAACCCACAGATTAGGGAAAGTCTGAGAATAACAGCTAGTCACCAGAAGGCCACAGAGGGCTGGACGTGCTGCAGAGACACAGGGCTGGTAAGGCTCAAGTAACTACATAGAGACACTATGCCTTCCATGGAGAATTGATTAATTTCATAGTAACTTAGAACTGACACTTCATAGACACTACAGGCAAAAAAATCCAATGCAGAGTTACCAAAATTCTCACTTAATAAAAAGTACAGAGCATTTTACCCTGAGTAATAATCCCCTCAAAAGACTGTATAACCTGTAATACGAGACCTAAAGAGAGTACAGGTTGCATCAGTTGATGAGGGAAGAGTGATCAATGTCACATAATGGTAAGACCCCTCTGCAAGGCCTCTGATATGGTCCTACCACTTTGATCTCTCAACTGGACAGATAAGGATTTGAAAGGTGGACTGCCCAATGAATTAGGAATTGGTTGGATGGCTGCAGCAAAGGGCTATGGTGAGCAGCTCCATACCCAGGTGGAGGAAGTACAAGTGGTGTCTCCACGGGTCTGCCTTTGGAGCAGTACTCTACCATCTGTTTCAATGACATTGACAATGAAATCAGGTGCACCCTGAGCAAGTTTGCAGATGACACCAAGCTGAGTGGTGCAGCTGTTGATGACAGAAGGAAGGGATGCCATCCAGAGGGACCCGGAGCTCATAAACAACATGGAAACTGACTTTTTACATGGTCTGATGTGCTGGAACAAGGGATAATGGCTTTAAACTAAAAAGAGGGGAGATTTAGATGAGGAAATTCATTATTATGAGAGCACTGAGGCCCTGGCACAGGCAGCCCAGAGCTGTGGGTGCCCCACTCCTGCAGGTGCTCAAAGCCATGGACGGGGCCCCAGGCTGCCTGAGCTGGTGTGCAACAGAGGTGGGGCTGGGGAGGCTGTAAGGTCCCCTCCAACCAATCATGCTGTGATTCTGTGAACTGCGTATGAGCATGCTGAAAGGCTAAAACAAAATCAAAAGTGCAAATTTAATAGGTCTTTACTAATCTCATTAGAGTCACCTCTCAGGGACAATCCCCCTCAGCATCACCATGAAGTATGTTACCAACAATCACTTCAAAAGGCGAATGTGAAAGAGCAGAAGTTTTTAAAGAATAGAAGAAACACACTGAAAACTTGGTACACAGGAAATGGAAAATAACAGAATAATTAAAACAAGTAGAAGGAAAAATAAAGCAGGAAGAAGTTCATTTTCTCATTAATAGTCAGAATGACATGGATACAGAAAAAAGTAATACAAGTTGGCCTCCTGAAGCCAACTACCACTATTCAACAGATCTACCATTAGTGTAAGAGAAAAATCTAATAAAAACTAAAACAAACAGGCAGGTAGCTACTTCACCCTCAGTCTCTAATTACAACATCACCATCTCTAGAGACCTGCTCAGTAGGAATGGAAATAACTGGTATCCAGGCAAGGAAGAAAGAATATGCAATAGACATACAAGAGGTTTTCAGCTTCAGTCAAGAGAGGAATAAGATGCCAAAATACTGTGAGAAGACAGAAAATAAGGCATGACTGATACGTAGCATTAATATATGCACAGACTGATACTGTTACAGTAATGGATTTCATCTCTAGAATACCGAGGTTTAGACAGTACAGAGTATCAGCTGTAACAACCATTACAGACGCTGTCGCAGCCTCACCTGGACAGCAGGTGAGGGTAATATATCCCATCCTTTCTCACCACTCTGTATTTCAGAGTAAAAACAGAACTGCACTAATGACACGTGCTGTCATCCAAAAATACACCAACAGATCCAGTCTCCATATTCCAAATTCAGTCAGTAGCATCGCTCTTAAAACCAAACTGCTGAAAATTTCTTCAATAGCTGGAATGTTGGGTGGAGGGATAGCCTGCATGAGAGCAGCCATATATTCAGTGCCAGCAGTGCAGTAAGATCTATGTTACCTACCTGGACTTCACTAAGACCTTTGACACAATCCTCCATAACACCCTTCTCTTCAAATTGGAAATGTATGAATTTGACTGTTGAATGGATGAGAAAATGGTTGTGAGATTGTGCCCAGAGTGATGGTTAATGGTTCAACATTCAGATGGAGATCACAGACAGGCAGTCCCTCAGGGGGAGAAAAAGGCACCAGTTCTCTTAAACACTTTTATCAGTCACATCAACAGTTCAATCAAGTGCACCCTCAGAAAGTTTCTAGATTATATCAAGCTGTGTGGTGTGGTCAACACACCTAAGGGACAGGTTGCAATCCAGAGAGACCTAGACAAGCTGAGCAGTAGGCCCAAGTGAATCTCATGAGGTTTGCAAATCCAAGTGCAAAGTCCTGCACCTAGGTTATGGCAATCCCTGCTATCAGTACAAGCTGGGGGATGTAACGATGGAGCACAGCCCTACTGAAAAGGACTTGGTGGTACTGGTGGATGACAGCTGGATGCGAGCCAACAGTGTGCTCTTGCAACCCAGAAAACCAACTGTATCCTAAGCCGCATCCAAAGCAGTGTGGGCACCAAGGAGAGAGAGATTATTGTATCTCTCTACTCTGTGCTGCAAGATCTCACCTGGAGCACTGTGTCCAGAGGTGAGGCCTCAAAGCAGGAGAGACGTGGACCTGATGGAGTGCATTCAGAAGAGTGCCACAAACCTGACTCAAGGGATGGAACATCTCCCTGTGAGGATGGGCTGAGAGAGCTGGGGCTGCGCAGCATGGAGAGGAGAAAGCTGTGGGGAGAGCTGACAGCAGTTTTGCAGTATCTAAGAGGGGCTGTACAAAAGGAAGAACAGACCCTTCAGCACGGTCTGTGCAACAGGACAAGGGGAAATAGTTTCAAACTAAAAAGGGAGATTTACATTGGATGTAAGGAAGAAGCTGTTTACAACAGGGCAGTGAGGCACTGCACAGGGTGCCCAGAGAGGTGGTGCTGCCCCATCCCTGCAGACAGCCGCGCTCAGGGGACGGGGCTGCGAGCACTGCTGGAGCTGTGGGTGTCCCTGTGAGACCAATGGCCTTCAAGGACCCCTCCCAACTTAAGCCATCCTATGACTCCACGATCTATTGCGCTACAGGTACGTGTCTGACACACTAAAAAAAAAAATTTCACAGCTTTAACAACACAGACTCGTTCTCTGCTTATCCTGCAGCCCACGGCGATGTACGCGTCACGCTGATAGCCGCGCTCTCCTGCCCACAGAAGCACGCTGTACGCAAACACACGGGGAAATAACGGTCCGCACGTGAGCAGGCAGCGCTCAGCTCAGCGCACCGCTCCGCGCTCCCTCGCTCCTCGGCCGGGCGGCGGGGCAAGGAAGGGGCGGGAAGCGGCGCCGCTCTCGGTCCCTCACAAAGTCCCGGGAAGAACCGCCGAGCGCCCCGCGAGAGAACCGCGGCCGTGCCCGAGGCCCCGCCGTCCCGGAGCCTCGCTCCCTCGGCACGTCCGCGGCCCGCCGGGGGAGCCGCCCCGCCCTGCCCCGCTCCTCACCTCCGCGGGGCCTGCGCGCCCCCCCCCCTCGCGGGATCCGGCCCGGGGACGCGGCCCGCCCGCGCGCCGCAACTTCTCCCGACGCCCCCGGGAGGCCGAGCGGGCGGGAAGCGACCGCCCGCCCCCAGGGCCGCCCCGCCGCCACTCACCCGGGGGGGCTCCGCGTCCCGCTCCCGCCGCCGCCGCCCCCGGCCCCCCGCTGCGGCCCCCGGCGGGGCGGGCGGCGCCGCCTGTTGCTCCATCGCGCTCCGGCCCCTCCTCCTCCGCCGCCGCCTCCGGGGGCCGCCGCCGCCCCTCGCCGGACCGATCCCGCTCCGCCCGCCCGGCCCGCGGCGCCACGTTCCGGGCCCCGGCTCTGAGGAAACCGCACTGCCCCCGGCCCCGCCCCCGGGGCTGGGCTCCGCTCGGACCCCGGCCGCCCCCCGCCCGACGGCGCCGAGGCCGGACGTCCTGCCCCGCGAGCCCCGTTCGTCCCGCTGAGTCCGCCGAAGGTAAGCGGGCGGCCTGCCGCCAGCCTCGACGTGCGCGATTCCGAGTGCGAGTCTTCACAAAGAACCCAGACCCAAAGTCGTCGTACTGCCATGAAGGCAGAAAATCCTCTCCTAAAGGCAGCAGAAGCCCCAGTAGCGTTTCTAGGATGAGCGCTATTCCAACATCGCACCTCTTCAGGATTCAGGGACAGTTACCTGTGGCCCAGGACATTGTTCTCACCAAACACAGCCTTATGGAACCATCACCTAACCTAAAGTCTTCCACATGCTGTAGACTCTGCCAGTTGAAAGAGACTCACAGAATGGTTGGAGTCGGAAGGGACCCCCAAAGGCCGTCTGTTCCCACTGCCTGCAGTGCACAGGGACACCCACAGCTCCAGCAGTGCTCACAGCCCCGTCCCCTGAGCGTGGCTGTGTGCAGGGATGGGGCAGCACCACCTCTCTGGGCACCCTGTGCCACTATCCTTAGCGTAAAAAGTTCTTCCTTGTACCCAATCTAAATCTCCACTTTTACTTTGAAATAATCTCCCTTGTCCTGTCAGAACATACCCTGCTAAAGGGTCTGACCCTTCTTTCTTACAGCCCCTTTAAATACTCAAAGTCCATCCTCAGCTCTCCCCCCAGTCTTCTCCAAGTTATGCACGTCAGCTCTCTCAGCCTGTCCTCACAGGGCAGATATTCCATCCCTTGGATCATTTTTGTGGCCCAGTAATGGAAATGAAAGTACAGCAATAACAGCAGAGTAGTACAACCCTAGGCTACAGGGAATGAGAACAAGCTCAAACGCAGCCACCAAAGACACAAAAACAAAGGAAGAAAAGGTGCTTACCTTTGGAAGACCTCAAGTAGACAGGGATCTCCAGCAAGGTACCTGCACCTCCACTGGCTGCCCTTAAATGAGGTCTGGGAAGGGGTGGATCCTGGCTCCACCTCAGGTACATTGCATGCACCTGAGCTCCCCTGGGTTGGCCCTCCCTTCCCACCAGGTATTCAACCACTGCTTCAGGCTGAGACTCAGCATTTCTACTACAGGCCCTCATGAAATCAACACGCAAAGTGTTTACACAAATACTGCCATCTCACCATTTACAGTGATGGATACAAGTATCTCATAACACGTGATCTCTGCAACATGCACAAAGGGGAGAAAGTTGCCTTGTGAGTGTCTTATCTTCATTTATACTTGACAGTGCTTTGTTTTGTAATGGATTAGGCTTTATTCTTTCCTAATCCATTTACAGTAAATGCCTCTAATCATAATATGCGTGGTTTTAGGGTAAAGTTATTAAACTGCTCCCTCTTACTAAATAATTAAATTCATATCCCCTAGCAATTGGCACACAGTCCAAAACCTTTTTCACTTAACAGACAAGAAAATTTAAAATTGTTCCTCGGTTTAATTCCTTGTTCTTCTCTTACAGGAGCTTATCAAATGAGGTAAGGAAGATGGATACCACGTTTCTTATTCAGTCCATACTAAGGTAAATAAACAGTACACACTTTTCAAGAAGAGGACAGTTAGCAGGTACAGGCATTTTGGACTGCAATTATTCTAACCATAGCCCTTCTCATAGTGGATTTCTCTTTATAAGTTTCCTGAGGAGTTCATGGACATAATTTTGTGCCTGGTAATATTACAGTTGAGGCAAAAGCTCAAATTTTTCATTTAGGAGGATACTAAGCAATATCTTCAAGCCTAAGCTAGAAATTGGAACAGAAGAATGCAGAAGTATAGATGATAATGAAATTAGCCTCAAGTCTTTTCATAACTTCATTCAAGAAGAAATATTTTTTCCTGACATTCCTCCTGAATCAAACAGATGGATGATCTTCAGAATGACTATTTGTCATTTAAATCCCCATGCATACACAGCAGTTACTTCACTCTTACGAAGTTATTTTTATTTATCAATTGCATCTTCAATAGTTACTCCAACAATAAGATTTTTAAAAATAAAAATTCTGCTCTCCATAAAATAAAACACTAATTAACAAAAAAGTCCCTTTTTTCACCTCATTTTCTGAAATGATGTAGAAGGAGCAGCATGCTTAGAAGAGACAGATTCATCCTCATTTTCATGGAGACGTTTTCTCGTAGCGGTTGGCTAAAAAAAAGATGCAGCAGGATGGCTACATTAATCAGGTAAGACAGAGCCTGACTGTTTTGTCTACTACAGAATTACAGATGTTGGATAAAGTCTCCCTCCTGTAACTGAAACAGCAGCATGACTAACGAGTGTTTTACTCCAGTGATCTAATGGTAAGTGATCCTTCTCATGTAAGACACTGCCCTTACTCCCTTTTCTTTCTCAGCTGCTCCCAGCTTTGACTACTTTTTAAAATAATGCTAATTGCTATCTAGTAATTAATATCACAATACCACTTCTAAGCTTTTACTGCCATAAAAAATTTTCCTTTGAGTATTAAATGCTCGTGACTCAAATCCATCAAAACATACATATTCACGTATAGAACTTTAAATATATGAATAGTCCTTTAAAGCCTAAGAGACAGTTTGTTTAGGTTCAAAGTGTCTTGCCAAAGCACAAAAGTAAACTCCTTCTACTAAAACTGCAGGAAAGAATTAGTAGACTGCTACATAAAGGCAGAATGTGCACTTCTATACTAAATTATCAGGATTACATTTTCTTATTAGGGTTTACTTTTAAATCTAGCTTTGGCACCAAGTATTAATCTTCACATAATCTGTCATTCATACCATTTTTGATGTTTGTGGTGGATTCATAGTGGCACTTGTCTGAGCAAGTAGTTGTTGAAATGTATTTTTCATATCCTCATCCTGTTAAAAAAAAAAAAAAAAAAGCATCAGCTCAGTACTATATGGAATGTTTAAGGTGAACCAGCAATTGTGGAATAAATAAAGGAAAAAAAGGACATAACTTTTCTCCTTACCATTAGAAAAATAAAACACGTAGTACTAGGAGAAAGGATCTGAAATGACAGTCCAAGATTGCTATAAAACACTGCACAGTGTCACAATTCCTTCTCTAAGGTTTCTTACATCAGGCCCAGTGAAAGAAGTGGTGAACCTATTCTTAACACAGCACAACTGAGAAACAGAATCAGGAAACAGTATTTTTGCAGCAAATAGATTACATTTTATCAGGACGTCGGTCCTTTGAAACATCGGCTTTATTCCCCAAGGAAAATCTGGAATGTGTAATTTCTGGCAAATAACGTCATAACAAACAGAAACTTCCAGAATAAACACCTCAAGGACCTTCAACAGCTACAGTTAAATTGATCCAACCTTCCTTCATCCCTCCCATTTGCCCCCCAAATTAACACCATCCTAATCTGCCCCAGAGAATTTTCAGCAGGTGGTTCATGTACAGCGTTGGTAAGGAAAAAAATAGTTCTACTTTGTTCTACAAATACATTATTTCCCTCTAAAAGTACTTAGCTAATACCAGTCAAGAAAAAACTGAAATAATAATACCATGCAATGAAGCAAAGAACAAAACATACAAGGCTAGGTGTTTGTGCAGATAATTCACTGGTCAGTTTTATCAGGAGAGGCCTCATCAGAACTTGGGACCTGGCTTTCATCAAAATCAAGTTCCTCGCTCTTGAAAAACAAGTATTTTGCCTATAGTCTTACATTTCATTTTCATACTGACTTCCATTCCTAACAGAATATTTTCATTTCCACCAGTTTAGCATCATCTCAACGTGTAGTTTTTAATCACGTCTCCACCCCAACATCATCCTTCCAATCCACTGTATACTCTACGTAGAGAAGAACCAGCTAAAACATCTATATTAAAATGACAGGAACAACTTTTACTTTTAAAACACCCCACCATTACCTCTACCCTAAGTCCATATAGCATATCAAAGGTTGTAAATGGAAGGTTTCACTTTTAAAAACCCAAATGATTGTTAACAAATATTTCTTATTCGTAGGCCATGCACATTGCTATACTGTTCCCTACCATAACAAGTTCACTGGATTATACAGTTTATTCTCTTCCAAAAGTGGTAAGCCAGAAGCTGCCATTAATGGGAGAGACACTGGAAAGAAGTGGACGTAGGGATGTTATTAGTAGTACTTCTGCATAAAGAAGTCTGGCTGCAGGAGCATTAGTAGAGGAAAGGGCAGCACAAGGTAGGAAAGCGCAGATCTTTCAAGAGAAAAAAGCTAGCACATTGATTCATTTTAGTTCAGCTGCCAGGGACCAAGGTGCCCTTGGTCTATGCTGGGCAACCTCTGGGAAAAAGGAATTCCACATGCAAAAGACATTTAGTTGACACAGTATACATCCTGTTCTGAAAATAAAACCTCATTCTCTAGTTTCAGCAACTTCTGCAGGAATTTTATTAGAATGGGTTACTATGGATTACCTGCAAACCCTAAATCAGACTTCCAAAGTTGAAATCAGATCTTGAAACCTTTCCTGGGACTACCTGAAGTATGCTGCTCATTGTGATTTTAACTTAATCATTTCCTTTGGCTGAGCTTTGAACAGTGACTGTAGGTTCACCAGCTGAACAACTGATCTAGAACCAAAAACAGACATTTATTCTTAACAACTACCTGAATATAGCAATTTCTATAATAGTTTTGTTCTATTACCACAGCAAAGATTGGGAAACTCAGGGAAAAGTGAATGAGACATTCGCTGGCAGAGGTACAAGAGAAGTAAAGATCATTGAACTCCTGTGGGTTTCAAAAATTGTAACCCTTTTTTGGGTAGAAGGCAGGGAAGATGGGTTCTTATTCTAAACTATAGAGTATTGCAGTATCTCCTTTTTTGGTTTAAATATGTTCTTTAGCACTACAGAGACTTCAATGTGAACATACAATTTATTTTAAATAGAATTTGGACGTGTCTTTTTCCAGTGTCACGTTTTTCAATTACATAACACCTTTTTTTTTTTTTTTAATTGAGCTGTAAAAATTATGTTTTGTTTGGAAAACGTGTGCTTACAATAACTGAAAAATTCTCTAGAGGACCCCAGATCGCTAGAGGGGGCTGACATGCTATGCACTTTAAGTATGCATCTTGAGGGTGTTTTCAAACGAGACTTTAGAGGTAATACTTACATCACAACACAAGAGGGAGCACGGAGCCAGTAGCTCCTTCTCACTACTTGTGATGACAAAACTCAAGCAGCTTTATTGGTGATAGTACTAAAGGTTTGTGATATTTAGAACTGAACATATTGTATGTTGGTCTATGAAAGCAGGCAGTATATCACCTATAAAAAACTGACATTTTTAATAATAACCCAAAAAGAGAAACAGCTTAAAGAGTGACATCTGAATGCTAGATGATATACAGATTTGCAGGTAAAATGCTTTATAAAACTTCTTGTCCTGTCTTCAAAACCAAACATACCAATAAGAGCTGCCCCTAAAGAGTATATATCATCAAGATGCTAACAGCTTCATTTCATATACTGACAGATCTCAGTCTTAACTTGTGTAAATTGCTGTCATACACTTCCTCTTTCCCATAATGCATATCAGTGATTCTTAAAATCAGTATATCATAGTTTGTCAATAACTTATCCTGCTCAGCATGATAATCAAAATGTAAGAAGCTACAGCCAATTAACCCACTGCAGAAATTATGCACAAAACTATAGCAGTAAAAGCCAGGAAAGGTAGAAAGTATTTCTGGATGCCCAACAACTGAGACAAGTTACTGGCTTACAATTATCCAACTGAATATTCTGTCTCAGTAACTAGCAGCTGCTGATTTGAGTGATTCTCCCTTGCTTCAGCCTATGCAGGGGGCATCCGAAGTCACAGGAGCTACAGTTCTACAAGACAGTTAAGCTACAGAGATCACAGAATGTTTTGAGTTGGAAGGAACACTTAAAGGTCATCATGTCCAACTCCCCTGCAATGAACAGGTTCATCTACAGCTACATGAAGTAATATTCAGGTAATAAAGAGAAGATTGAACTTACATAAAATTAAGCATAGTGTGGTTACTTTGGAGAAGACAGGAATAAATAATTCCTTTTTCTCTCTGGCAGAAGTATATGATTTGGAAGGATAAAACTTACCTGTGGTGTATTCATAACAAGGTGGAGTACCTATGGTATAATCATGACTCTCCATTGTCAAAGACAGACAAAGGAGGAGTCAAATTAGAAGCAGAAGTTTATGGTGGGAAAGGCACTGAACAGCATCAAGCAAGGCTACAAGACTAGGAATAGCAGCAACAACAGTAATAAAAGAGCATGGAACTGAGAAAACTGAGAAAGCATACATACCATGGGAGGGGGTAAGAGCTAACAAAGACTTTGTGAGGGACAGTGGCCAAGAAAACAAGCACAATGAAAAACAGCAGGGGGCCTAGCTGACTTTGCAAGAATTTAAAATAAGGAAAAAACAGGAAAAAATGAGAATCTCTGTGCTGTAGACAGAGCATTTGTTGGGACAGCAATGAAGCATGTTTGCTCTGTACACCGCAAGAAAGTCCTTGGCACACAACTAAGTACTGCATGGTCATCTTGCTTACAGCAGCAATCTCTTCAGAATGTTCACTCTGTCTTCAAGTTGTTCAACAGGAAAGTTGTGACTATTAGCATCTGGGCTAATGTCATTCTACAGATTGGGATCTGATGGCTCATTTTCCCATATGTCATTCACAATGCCAGTAAAAGAAATGAACTCACAGACACACAGTATGCTCCTCCCTTCTTATTTCCCTGCAAATAGGTATCAGGATCCCTGCAGTCTTACAACAGCCAGCAGAAACAGTCCGGCCAGCTGGCAGGCAGCAGCACCTGCCCAGAAGAAGCACAACATGGCAGTTGCTCTTTTGCTGGCTGCTGTCAGGGGCAGCCTACAAACCAGTGGACTGAAGTTCTAACTTAAGGTAAGTGCTGTTATTCCCAAGAAGCTGCAGAATTGAAGCTCTCATTTCTCATCACCTTTTCTGGCATTCTCCACAGATGCAGGATTGGGTACACAGAGATCTCTGGTGACCAGGGCATTCACAGTTTCCCTGCTTCTTGCAAAAGCAAAACCTTGTGAAACTCAAGTTATTGAATGGTCTTTGAATTTATATCAAGAAATTATCTCCAGAACAGCTCATCTTGGCTGTATTTAACAAACTTAATTCCTACCTGAAGCCAGGGATGCTCTAAGGCTTCCTCTATTGTAAAACGTTTGCTTGGATCCACTACCAACAGCTTCTTCACAAGATCCAGAGCTAAGATAATAAGAGTTAAGCAATCAGCTACTTAAAAAATGCAAACATATCAGCATGCAGTGTACCACAAAAATAAAAACTGAAAGGAAGTTAAAAGAAAACAGACTACAACAAAAGAAAAGATCTAGATACTCTGCTACCTATATAAAGGAGTCATACCCATGTTGGATACGTGTTTCCATTCTTTTGAAATGAATGTGTATTCTCCACGAGTGATTTGGTCTTTCAGAGATAGTTGAGTATTTTGCTCATTAAATGGCGGATATCCACACAAGCTATATAAAAGAAGAAAACAAATTAAACAACACAGGTTTGTCACACAGTGTCATTTATATTTTTATACACACTTTCACTTCCTATTAAATATACTGAAGTTGCCACATCTTGAGCCACGTATCTCAATGAAAGCCCAAGGCATCTAAGCAGTATCTTACCATACAAAAAGAATAACTCCTAAACTCCAGCAGTCCACAGCTCGGCTGTATCCAGCAGTCCCAAGTGAATTTAGAACCTCAGGAGCAAGATACGTGGGAGTACCACATAATGTTTTCATAAGAGAAGTTTCTCCAAGAATCTTGGATTGTCCAAAATCTGTAATCTTGTATGTAAAAATTGTAACACCACATTACATATCGGGATTGATTGGACTAGAACATACCATATCCTCAGTACACAATAGGAGGTAACATTAAGTCTCTTCTTTCCAAGGCACAGTTCCAGTACAAGACTATGAACAGAATATACCTCAAACATTATTAAAGTCAGTGAACAGCAACTGAGGAGAATATGAGTAGGGAGAAATATGACAGAGGATCAGGCTTCAAACTAGTACAAAGTATTCTCAAATTTGGATGTGAATGGGCAACCTCAGAATAAAGGTATTTTTGCATATTAGAAGACACTACTTGAACAAATCATTTTGACATGCACATCTACTTAATGCTTTCTGAAAAAAACATATAGCTCTGTCATCATATAGCCTGGATATTTGTGAAAATGCTTTCTGAAATTCACAAACATAGATTTTATTTTTAAAGATGTCACCACATTTAAAATTGTTCTCAATTAAATGTTAAACAATACAGTTTCTCAGTCATTTCACAGAAACTTATGGGTAGAACTATCCACAAGGGTGAAATTGAACATTTGAAAAGCCTCAAAGTTTGAGGTTACTTCACAACTTGTATGAGTAATTCTATTTTGTGTGCATGCTATATTTAACTCAATACTGAGAAGCAGAGAAAGGAGTACTCCCAAATCTCCACACGAACAGTACAAATGTAAGTTTCCTTGCCTTTATCAGACACGTCTCTTCAGAAGATGAAAGCAGCACATTCTCTGGCTTCAGATCCCGGTGTATGATACCATTGTCATGAAGATACTAGATATACACAAATATACATACATGAAGAAAAGCAGACTATTTTCTTTCTTTCAGATATATGCTTTCAGTTTTTCAAATAGCAGTGGCAGGATAACCAAAATTGCTATTTAAGAGACATGCATGCATTTAAAGCTACACAGCTCATGACCTTTTTTAAAGCCAAAGTAGTCCACGCTTCAGTTTGCAAAGACCAAAATGCTTCATCAGGGCACACAGTACAGCACTTAAGCACTAATTGTTTGAAGGCTTTGCTCACACACTACTGCAAGTCTCACATGATAATCCTGTCTTCACGAGCACAGTCTGCATTACTGCCTCAATCTCTGGTGGTTGTTGTTTTAAGAAGTAAGAGAGTTTGAATGCTATTTGGCTGTATTGAAATACAGAATCTTGTTACAATTACTTGTTAATAACACCGTGCTGATTAGTTGCATAAGTTTCAGAAGTGACAAATAACAAAAAAATTCATCCAAATGACATGCAAATACATCACCATATTTTCCTTGATAGAATTCTGTCATGGTTTTGGTTTTTTTTTTTTATTTGATTTTCAATATTCCACATCAAAACATCATGTACTGGAATTAAAGTGTTAATGCTCTAACTCTACGTACCTATCCCTATACATTACGGAAGTCACGGGATCTGACCCTTCCGGGGGGACGGTCTCTTACTGCCTGGCAGTGGGTGCTGGAGGGTGCTTTCCTAGCCGTTCCAAGCTTTTTCAGGTTTGACTCGGTCTCGGGAACTCTCTCTCATATCTTGTTTGACTTATTAGTCTCAATTCCAATTAGATTGTATTATATTGTATTATTTTGCATTCCGATATCATAGTTAGTAAAATAAGTTTACCTCCATAGTTTGTTGCCGCTGTTTTTTTCCTTTTCCCATTTTGTGGGCCCAGGCGGGGGGTGGGGAAGGCAGGGGCCTACTGCCCCCTGTCACGGGCATTAACTGATCTAGTTAATTCCGTGACAAATTCATGATTACCTTCACAGCCAGCAGCATCTGATAAAAGTACAACTTGCAGGTATCTTCTTTCATCTTGATTGGCCTTGACACTCTGTCATACAATTCTCCTCCCTCCATCCTAAAACAGACATAGATAACAGTTCAATAGATTACTTTCAAAAGTTTCATCTCATTACACAAGACCAAGACCAAAATTATTTCTTTTGGCTCCAAAATATATTCCAATTTTGAAAATGAATGAGCAATGCTCTAAACACAGCACATGCATTGCTGACTTGAGGCCTAATCTTCTGAAGTCCTGACTGGAAGAAGTTACAAGATTTCTGATTTACATCCTCTAATCAGCTCAAAATCAAAGTAGCAGCAACCCAAAACGGCAGCATAGTGGGTGTCTATTCAAGGCACTAATTGCCTTCAATGTGTAGAAGTGATTACTCCCCTGATTATCCCAGCTTCTGATTTTTCAGAGGCTTCAGACAGCGCTTGAAGCCAGCCAAAGGAAAAGAAAACAAGAAGAAAACACACACACGCAACAGAATTCAGAACTATTTACATTCTTTATAGCTGTGAAAGACATTTCATGCCTTTACTTTCAAAGCAGTTACTTACAGTTCCAAAACAATGTAGTAATCCTCTGCTTCAAAGAAGTTTTTGATCTTGATTAAGCAAGGCTAATAAAAAGGGAAAACAGATGGACACATGGAAAAGTAGAATCACTTGTAAAAACTAATGCTATCAACTGTGTATCATCTTGAGTTTCCTATTTTAGTATGATTTCCCCATAGCAACTAAATTAGCACTTACACAACCAACAGGCTTTGGCACACAAAGCCTGTTGTCTTCTCCCCTATACTTCACCCCCCTGTACAAAAAACATTGAATTCTTGCCACCAGTACAGCTCAGCAGTCACCCTTACTTTTTCCAGTCGTCCGTTTCCACAGCAACCCCAATATTTTCTTGATATGCAAGAGTTCATTAATCTGTGCAAGCTTCCCATTTAACAAAAAGAAAATAAAAGCCTTGGGGGGGAGGGGGGGGGCTGGAAGGATAAGGATCCAGCTCAAGAACTTGCCAGTGGAATCTAATGTTGGTTATCTGGCAATCTGTACAAAGGGTGCATCAAGGAGAGATTTCTCCCACAGCTATGGTTCAGAATGAAACCTCTGCAAAGTGCCTTCCCAAATTTACATCTAAGACATCAAGACTTTAAAACCTCCTATCTGCAAAGATACAGTAGACTTAAAAAACGTGCTGAACAGACTTACTTAGGCTGCAATAATTATATGCATCATTCTCTACACAGGTAAAAATCAATCGTTACTATGCTAAGTCAGTGAAGCAGAAGAGTGCAGTACACAGCAAAATGAATACAAATGTACAGTGACACTCACATGATCTATTTTCTTCAAAATCTCTATTTCTGTGTTGATATTAAAAGCTGGGTTCTGTTAAAAGAATCAAATATCATATGGAGTCATACAGCAATATCCTAGGATAAGAAACTTCAGAAATAAAATTCCAACTTAAAAACTTAATCTCAGCCAGTAGATATCAGCAGTGTCCTTTGAACAGCTTTCTCCTACCTTCAAGATGTTTCCCACATGAGCTACCCCTAAAGTTAGATGCTACTCACTTTTACTCTTTATTATGCTAGAGAAAATAAACAGATTGATCTGAAAATATCTGCATCTACTTCCTCCTCTGAACCTGGACAACTGGAAATTAGAGAAGCATTCACTGAGCTTGTATATAATCCTGCAGAATTAACAGTGTTAGTCTAACCTATTTTAACTTCACTGAACCCATAGCTGCAGAATTTGCATCTCCTTTCTCATTCACTTTCAACCTCTATTTCTATTTTTTCTTCACAGCTCATCTTCTATCTCTACATAAAATGAGAGTGATCAATCTGAAGTTGTTTGAATATCTGTTATGTTATAGCCACGGCTCTTTCTCCAGCAGCTATGAAAGCAGATGTGTGAAGCCTGCTGGGGAGGGCTTTCCTCCATTTCATTTAAGTGTTATGATGATACAACACAATTAACAGAGCTTATAGACCTCTGGTCAGACCTCCCTGTAATGTAGATTTCTGATGTGCTTTAGGAGATAGACCCCATGAGACTTCCCCTCTCCCCTCATTTGTGTACACTACATGAACAGGCAGTCCTACCAGAGTGTGCCAAAGAATAAAAGCAAGCATTTGCTACACAAGAGGGCTGGAGAGTAAGAGATAAAGGCTGCCCATATCCGAGGATGGCTGCAATATGGCCAAAGGACAGAAACAAAAGTACTTACTGTCTCTCTAACACCACTGGCCATAAACTTGCGCTTGTTGATTATTTTTACTGCAACTTTATTACAAGTGCTCTTCTCAAATGCCAGTTTGACTTCTCCACAGGCACCACTAGCATGAAAGCACAGGCGTGTTAATGCTTACAGATACCTTCCTAACTCAGCCTAAGAAGCATGCTGAAATGAACAGGAGGCTCTCACCCCATTCAGACTACATGCAATCAGGTTTTCCATCTTTCTCAATATGACAGATGGACAAAACTATCTCACAAAACATTCAATAGTATTTAAGCACCAAATGGTGTCAGACCCCAGTTTCGACCAACTACAAACACATATAAATGTTCTTGCATGTAAAGAAAATAAAAAAATAGAAGAAAAAAAAAAGATACTTTCAAATCTTGAGCAATTAATTCAAAAATTGCTTTAAAGCTTCTCGTATCTCTGATAACTTTTCTATGATTCTGGGATACTGTAAATGATAGATAATGATAAAAAGCATTAACTGATCACTAAAGACATACAATATAATTTTGGTGAGGTTCACTAAAATTACAAATTCATCTGCATTCTTGATACTCCAGTCTTAATAAATATAGTGTGCCACAACATGTCTTAGGCTAAATCTGTTGTGTAAGCAAATATATTGCCAATAAGTATCAGGTTTTGGCATTCACATAAAGTGAAATAACTAAGGAACTGCACTGCTTTGTGGTCTCTGTTAACCCAGTTGCTGATCAACTTGAAGCTGCAGCTGGAAAAGTGTTTGTCAGTAGGACCACGTCTCATTTGTGTTTCATCTTCATTAAAACCCACCACAGTCGTTAGAACACTTATCACAAACTACAGAAAAAATCTCGTTTAAACCAAAGCATCGCAATCCTTATCAAACTGATTTGCTGTGTGCAACAAACAGAAGGTAAACGCACTGCTAATGGTATCTGCTGGCCCTCCCTGCCCTGTAAAACACCTGAAATAGCTGTGGCATTGTAAAAACTACAACAGTAGCTCACAGGGTACTGAAAATGGTAACAAAATGAAGGGATGCTTACCTTCCCAAAGTCTTTGACATGATGTACTTCTCTCGGAATTCTCTAGGAAACACCAACTGGTCATCCACAGTGAGATCAGAAAAGACAAACACTGGGGAGATGGGTGGAGAGCATCCTCCTGTTATTCACTTCAAAATGGTTACAATGACACTTCCCGAGCTTTTATAGTCAACAACACAACTAAGCAAATGCTGCCCGCTAGAAACAGCACATAAATAGTAAGGAAAACAAGAATTAGAAAATTAATATGAAAAAAAAAAAAACAACCATCAGCTGATGCTGCAAATTACACCAATGATGTGTTAAGCAGGCAATCTCATCACTGAAAAATGAGACCTTGGGTCTGTGCCAAACACAGCGATAAACTTATGGCTGTTCTTCAGCTATACGGCATTCTCAGAGACAAGGAAAATATTCAAATCACTGCACAAAGAACCTCCTGGGTAATACCAAAAGAACCTGCGTGTGCTGTGGTATATTTTACCCCTGTTAGTCTGAATGGACAGCGCGATTTCAGAGTTATGAGTCAGTGGAAGCCTCTTCCCTTTCCCAATGAGCTCTCTATTAAGGAAAGTTCCATTCGCGCTGTGGTCTTCAATGTAGGCAACGTATGAATTTTTTGGTCCCATTTCCTAGAAGGAAAAGAAAGAAATCAGAAAGACAGTGATAGAGCAAAAAGGACTACAGCAGCGTTGGCTCAAAACATAGGTGTATTTCATAAAGCTGGAGAGGAAACAGCGCCTGGTTAAAGGAGTCAGTGCTGAACATGGTAAACTCTGAGTTCATTAAGACCCCAGCAAAAGTTCACCTTTCTCAATTATATCAATACACAGACGGACAGATAACCTTTTTAGCACCTACCCTGAAAATTCGGAAGTGCTTCTTGCTATAGTTTTGGTAAAATCCAGTCTCAGATAATCCGAGCTTAGAAAAACTGTAATCGCAGCTCTTGTCTCTTCCAAACCAGTACTCATCATTCACACAGTCTGCAGCCAAGTGGAGAGAACACAACATTGCAGGCACTTATTAACTACTGCTCTACAGAACGATGCCACACAATGTAGTGAAGTAGGATCGCAAACACATCAGCTTTCATTTCTCCTAACTCCAACAAAACACCACACTATACCCATACTTTATTTGAGGAAGATGCTCAGAGGGCTGGAGCACCTTTCCTGTGCAGAAAGGCTGCAGGAGGAAGATCAGGAGAGCTCACTGCAGCCTTCCAGTACTTGCAGGATGCTTACAAGCAGGAAAGGAGAGATTTATTGCATGGTCTGATAGCGACAGGATATGGGGGAATGGCTTTAAACTAAAAGAGGGAAGTTTGAGGTTGGGTGTGAGGAAGCAATTCCTCACTCAGAGGGCAGTGAGGCCCTGGCAGTGCTGCCCAGAGCTGTGCTGCCCATCCCTGGAGGTGCCCGAGGCCATGGATGGGCCCTGGGCAGCCGGAGCTGGGGGCAGCCAGCACACGGCAGGGCTGGGGGATCCCTGAGCTCCCCTCCAACCTCAGCCATTCCGTGAGCCTATGATTTCGCTACATGCAGTACATCAGTAGTTTCATTGTATTAACGGCGTCGTTTTCCATTCACCTTCAGCGACACGCTCACACGACGCAGAAACAAAGCAAAGCAATCCAAGCTACGGGGCGGACAGACGGAGCGGACAGCAGAGGAGACACGGACGGCCGAGCAGAACAGCCGGGAGCTCAGCGGGGCGGCGCGGAGCTGCACCTCGGCCCGACGCGGACAGGAGGCCGGGGCCGGCGGTCACGTACCCCAATTGCTGAAACCTTTTCCGAGCGCGAAGAGCCGACCCCACGGCTGGGGAACGAGCTCGTCGGGTTCCGGGTCCTCGGGAATGGAGGGCAGCTCCTGCGTGGGCACGGTGTCCAGCGAGCTGAGCGTGCCGGAGCTGGAGGAGGACTGGCTGGCGCCCTGCGAGGCGCTGGAGGAGGAGCTGGTGCCGCCCTGGGACGGCTGGGTGCCCTGGGACTGCCGGGCGTCGCTCCTGGTCTCCCGAGACATGGCGAGCACCGCGGGCACCGCCGGCACCACGCTCCTCCACGCGCGCGCCGCAGCCCGACCCGCCGCGCACAGCGCGCACGCGCGGCGCTACGAGAGCAGCCAATGGCGGCGCGGCGCCGCGCGGGGCCGCCGGGATCCGTAGCGCGGAGGACGCGGCGCGGGGATGCGGGCGGCGCTGCGGCAGCACTTCGACCGGGCGCGGCGGGCGCTCCGCGTCTCCGAGGCGGCTCCGCGGCCGCGCTGCGTCGGGCCCGGCTCCGCCCCGTCCCCGCGGTGCTGGAGCTGCGGCGGCGCTCTCTCCGGCGTCGATGCGGTGCCGCACTTCTGCCCCCGCTGCCGGGCCCTGCAGCCGCCGGAGCCTCGGCCCGACCTCTTCCGTCTCATGGAGTGGTGAGTGCCGGCGGGCCGGACTCGGGCGGCGCGGGCCGCGCTCCTCACGCCGCCTTCTGTCGCCCGCAGTGAGCGCTCCTTCCGCCTCGACGCGCAGCGGCTGCAGCGGCGGTTCCGGAGCCTTCAGCGCGCGCTGCACCCCGACCGCTTCGGCCGCAGACCGGCGGTGAGTGCGGAACGCGGGGAGCGAGCGCTGTGTCGGCTCCGAGCTGCGGGCGTGGGGCTGCGTAGGGGTTCGTGGAGTCCTAGAACCGACTGAGTCGGAAGGGATCCCCGAAGGCCGTCTGCTCCCACCGCCTGCAGCGCACAGGGACACCCGCAGCTCCAGCAGTGCTCACAGCCCCGTCCCCTGAGCGTGGCTGTGTGCAGGGATGGGGCAGCACCACCTCTCTGGGCACCCTGTGCAGTGCCTCACTGCCCTCAGTAAAAACTTCCTTATATCCAATCTAAATCTCCCCTCTTTGAGCTTGAAGCAATTTCCCTTGTCGCATCACAACAGACCCCGCTAAAAAGTCTGTCCCTTCTTTCTTCCAGCCCCTTTAGATACTGATGGTGACACAGCGCCGCTGTGCTGTTTGTGACCTCAGCTAACAGCAGGCAGTGTGTTTCACTCACTGCTTATTGATGCATTTCTGGTATTTCCCTTCCGCCGGCAGCAGGAGCAGCACTACTCGGAGCAGCACTCCTCCCTCATTAACAAGGCCTACCAGACGCTGCTGCACCCCCTGAGCCGCGGCCTCTACCTGGTGAGTGCTGGGACGAGCAGATCCACACCCACCTCGGGGCTGCTGCTCAGTGTGTACACACTCAAGGAGCTGATGTTCACGTTTCCATATTGCTGGTTTTTCCTCCAGCTGGAGCTGAACGGGGTGGAGCCGGCACAGGAGACGGACTGTGATGCAGATTCGGAGTTTCTCATGGAAATCATGGAAATCAATGAGAAATTAGCAGAGCCTAAGAACGATGAGATCCTTGGAGAAATAGAAACTTTAATTAAAGGTGAGAAATAGAAACTTTAATTAAATGAGCTCTGGTGGTTTTGTACGGAATGAGTTTGACATCCCTGTACTTTGTATAATACAGAAGTCTTTTCTGGTTTAGGTATTTTGGCATTGCTGTTGCTAAATTCTGTTAGTTTTGAACAGACTTGCTGCGTATTTTTTCCCCACAAAATAAGAATGCTGTCTTTCCTAATTCATGCCATCTAAAAATCCAATCTAGCTTAAGAAAATCCATATAGCAGTACCTATTCTGATGGCAAAATAGGTCTGTGTATTAATCAGAAAAAGGATTACATCCCACCAGCAGATCGCAGCAAGGAAAATTGTTATCAGAGAGACACACAAACAGTGTGCAACTACAGCTGCTTATTTCTGTCCACTAAAATATGTAGAGTTTATGTTGTGGAAGAATCCTGGGTGCAATGTTGGAGATCAAAGCAACTTAAGCTGCTGGGAAGTGAATGAGCACTGGTTTGTAGGTGCTGCTGTCTGTAAAGCTGGCTCAATAAAGAAACACTTGTGGAATGGTAATGAAAAGAACTGACATTGCTAACACAGTGAGCTCTTGTCTTCCAAAAGACCACACCACAGTCTGAATGCAGCTGTGATATGGAACAAAATCTGAATAAAATAATTTGTTTTACAGATAGACAAGAAGAACTGACCAAAGAGGTGACTGCAGCTTTTGAAAGAGGTAGTTGTTTTATTAAGTACTCAGCTGCCATAAATATATCAGTTATAAATGCCAAAACCACATTCTGTTATTGAGAATAAGTGGGCAGGAGCTCAAACCATTCCAGACAAGATTTTTATACTGGGGAGAAGTCCTTATGTTTCTCTTCTAGGCCCCACAATTTCTTTACTCTTAGGCTTACACAGCATGCGTTGTAATCCTAAAACACCATATGGAAAGTAGTAGTGGCACATGAAGCATGAGAACCTTATAGTTTGCTGTTCTTTGTACAGGGAGCATTAAGGACTACATTGCACCTATCCTTCTCAGTAGCCATCCTTCCCCTCCCATTAATAGTTTAATTAAGGAGCAGTTGTTTCAGTATCATTTCTGGAATTGCCCCTATGTGTACCAGAGTGCTACCAACTGTATTTTTCAGTGGTGGCAGTTGGTCTAAGTATATACGTTCCCCCTACAAAAATGTTTTGTCTCCTCTATATACCTAAAATTACCCACTGTCTACATCACCACCACAGCCACTTCACAGAAGAGTTATTAAAGAGCATTCATGTCCCATTTCCTTCCTCAGCTCTTGTTTTGTGGGATGCCTCCATTAAGGAGCTCCAAACTTTCCAGTAGAAAAGCAGCAGCAGGCACCACGTGTCCCTCAGTGCATGGGCTCTCACAGCTTGCAGCTCTTGGTTCTGAAACAGCTGCTGGCAAGGGAATCTTGAGATTCATTTTAAAAATGAAAACTGTGTCCTCCTTCTGTTACAAAACTTTTTTTTTTCTATTTCCTTGCAGATGACCTACAGGAAGCTAAGAAGCTTCTAGCCAAAATGAAGTACTTTGCAAACTTAGAGGACAAACTAAAGAACAAGAAGATCCCTTCCTGATAGTGCCTCCTTTACCATTAAGAATAATGTAATTTTTAATTAAATTGCTGATTTAGTCACCAAATCCAGACAAATGGTGTTTGCCTCCTATGCCTCTGTTAAAAGCTTTAATTCTGAGAGAAAGACGACAAACAGGAACGCAGTGTTTGCTGCAGCACCTGGTCAGTTACAGCTGGGAGCAGGCCCTGCTTACAGCCAGGAAAAGCTGCACTGTGTGCCTAAGATTACTGTCCTCATAGAGTTACAGGTGTGGAAGTTTCAGAGAGACACAAACAGTGTGCAATTATGACTTCTTACTTTTGTCTACTAAAATACATAGAGTTTGTTGGGTGCAGTGTTGGAGGATCAAAGGGAAAGCTTGGTCAGCTCTGCCTCATCTCCTGGTATGTATCCTACCCAACCACCTTGGAAAAAAAAACTTTAGATGTGAAATGATTTCAATTTCTTTTTTCTTATCATCTGTCCTTTCTGCTCCTTTGTACTTTTGGGGATGTTGATTTCAATGAAGGATGTTTCCTGGCCCAAAAACGAGCAGAAGTTTTAAAGCCCTATTGGACAGTTTGAAGTATTAAGACACGAGGTTGGGGAAAAAACAAAAAGCACAACTCAAAGACCAGGAACTGTTTTATTATTACTGTTTTAAGAAGCTTTCTAATAAACCTCATTATTACTTAAAATAATCTAATAAAGATAAATCACATCAGTGTCACACTGCCTTGATTGCTTTGAGATGTGTCTGTGCAGGAGAACTTGCAGGGATTTAATGTCCTTAAATCTTACACTGAGATTACTTAAATTAAAAAGCAGCAACTACAGACCAAGTTAATGCACTGAGTAGAATATTCCAAATAGCAGCTCTGCAGTTCATGTTTGGGTTGAACACCTCAGGCTACAAGCTATATATTCTTCAGTAAAGCACTAACAGGTGCTTGGATCTGAAGAAAGAACTAAAAGAGCTGCTCAAGTATAGTGCCATCCAAAGGCATCTGCTGGAGGCAGCAAGGAGTGGAATTCATTTAACAACCACTACCACCATTTCTGCATTCTGACATCCAATTTTATACAGAAGACTCAATGTTTAGATAATACATTCTAAGAGCAGTTCAGCAGTATCTGTTTTAACAGCATTTTAGGAAGGCTGCCTTTACTTAAACTTCCTCTCAACATGCAGGAGGAAGCATAAACTACTTGTTCATAGTATTACAGTGCTAAGTTAGAAGACAGGATTTGTCATTCTCATTAAGGTCATTCTGTTACAGCTGTGAAAACACACTTTTTAATATTCATCATGGAGTTGGCTTCTTTCATTAAGTTCTGTTTCCTTTTCTTTGCTTTTTCCTCCAAAATTAAGTTTGTGAAATTCCTTTTTGATCTCCAGAAAAGATTTGTTTTTTGTCTCAGGAATTACGAGGAAGATGAAAGCAGCAACTAAGGAGCACTCCAGTAAGAACACCACAAAACAGTACTGCTTCAGTCCTCTCTGAAAATAAACGGCATTTATGATTGCAACAAACCTCAAGTACGACAGGGGGTTTTGGAAAACAAAGAGCCTGTTTTGATTTTCATGCTAACCTGACTGCCTGACACTCAGTGGGCTCCCAGAGAACACAGACCCCCCAGCCCTGAGTGCTACTTCTGCCTCTGCTTTGGCATAAAAGCATACAGGAGTATTAACAAATGTTTCATCTTAATGAAGTGCTGAGATTCAGTTTTTTCTAGTTTTGACATCTTCTGTTTTTCCATTTAAATCCGAACCCCTCATGCATTCCTTTTGACTTTTTACTTAAAAATTTTAGGTCCTTACAGTAACAAAATGCTGTATTAGTTATATTAGCTAAGGGTTTGCGTGCACCCAGTGCTGAAGTCTCACTTTATTAACAGAAAGCAGTTAATAACCTTAGAGCAGAGTCAAGTGGGAGGTGAAGCAATCTGGAAAAACAAAGTATGCCAACTTACCACTATAAAAGGAAAAAGCATTCCAATGGTGAAGAAACTAATCCAGCTCATAGTCCCTCCAATCATGCAGGCAGCAGGACGTGAAGACTGCACAAAGATTTCAGCTGTCAGGGTGTTGGTTATGCCACCTGGGGGAGTGCATTTGAGAGACAACAGGTGATTGTGGCACGTGGCTGTTTGCACAGTACTCCTAATGGCACAAAGAGCTGCCATTTTTAAGGCAGGTTGGACAGTCCCTGCCCACACAGTCAGCATTCTTCTAAAGTGCTCGTGTTTCAGCAGGGCTGCTCAGGCACCAAAGGTCCCTTTAGAAGTGTAACAGGTTTCTTCTTGCTTCTATGACTTGCCTGAATGAAAGGCCAGAACTAAAAACCCCCACCTGACACACAGCTGACCCTGACAAGAACAGCCCAAGCCTCAGTTTCAGCCTGTGTGATGCCATTCATTCTGATGAACTGTCAGACTTGCGCTCCTTAATGAGAGCCCTGGCAGCCTTAAGTAAATACTGCTGGCTTACACACAGCAGAGTTGCTCACATTTCTCCTTACACCCTCCAACACACAGTTGAGCATTTTAAAACATCCATTACTGAGCTGTACCTGGTCCCAGCCCAAAGCTCAGTATGAAGGCAAATATCGACATCATGCTCACATAAGGCACCCAGGGGTAGAGTTCCTGGAACAGAAGAGAATGAAAAGCTTCAGTTTGTACTTCAATAATCTAGTTTAAAATTTGGGCTTAAGTTACGCATTCCTCAGTTCTTTTATTTCAAGTAAGACCAACAGTCATTCACAGATGCTTAAGTCTCCTATGTTTAACAGGACTGCTTCAGAGGAAGTCAATATTGCTAATCTCAGATTTTAACAGATGGCTTCTAATACTTCTGTCAAGATTTATCATCAGTTCTCTGAGCTGAAAACTGCATCAGCATGGAAAACAATTACTACTAGTTCAGCATTTTGTCAGTGCTTATTTTGGCATTTCAGAATGATCCTGTGAGTCACCTAATTATCTTTGTGCACTCAGAGCAAACAGATTTTCCTCACTGCATTGTTTGTGTGTACATAAAGTTCAACAGTGCAGTAAAGAAGCACTAGGATTACAATAGATGCATGCATATAAAACTAAGCGTAACAAGCAACCCAAACCTAAGCTTGAAGTGCCATCATCCAAAAGCAGACTCAGAAGTTTACAAAAGCTACAATTTACTCTAAACGTTCATTTCAGGAGATGTGTGGAACTACTTAATTTGAGCTGGTACAGTGCACACAACAATTCATGATGCATCTTTTAATACTATATCCAAAAGCATGGCAAGATGTTATCTTCTCATGGTTGACTTAAAGCACTGTGAATATCTCCAGGAGTTTCCACTGGTTCTATGAATTCACATTTCATAGATTGAAGCACCTTTTGTATTGAAGCATTCATAAAATATTTCTGTTTGACTTCATTTAAAATTAATGAAGTCAACTTGACTGCAGTGGATTCTGGTACTTAATATCATCGCTATCTAATATTTCAGCCTAGAATTACCTTCGAGGACAGTACAAACATTATTACACAGTTTTGTCAGTATTAAACACACCTGTAGCTGTAAAACAAATACAGGACCAAATCTTCTGAGAGCTCACTTATAGAAATAGTTCCAGAATCAAACAAATCTTTCAACTGTTGCCATTTTTTTTAGTGTCGTTCAACACAGCACAGCTCCAGCTTTGAGCATCACAGACTTACACTCACTGCTAGTTACACCACGTAACAAAAAATGAGTCCTACTGTACACCTGGTAAGTCAGAGAGAACGTTAGAACAACGCTCCAGAGGGTCATCAGGAGGTATCCCCCAAGGATGAGGTATCTTCTTCCCACGCGGTCTATCAGTAAACCCTATGGACAAGACAATGTTTCGTTACCATACTGAGCTCATATTTACCAACATCAAATTGCTACAGCCTGTACTAGAAGGCAGAAGGAATTGCTGCATACACAGGTGAGTGCTGTGAGGCATTCACAAGCGCCAGTGCCAAGAGTCACATAAGGGATTTTTTCAGTTGAGATCCCAGCTTGCTCGAAAACATAGGTTGCATAGAAATAAATCTACAACAGAAGGGGGAAAAAAAAAAGCAGAATTAAACATTTGCTGTAGGTAAACTGTCAGCTGGAGACAAAATCATGTCCATCTCAATCATATATCTGAATCTATTTTATATTGTGACTTACAGCATTTATCCCACTCAGCTGCTGGCCCATAGTCATCACAACCACAGTAACGAGCTGCCATCGCACAGCACGATCAGTGAAGAGCTGCCAGGGCTTCTTGGGTTTCTCCCCATCTAAGGCAAAGCATTCCCGCTGTATGTCTTCCATCTCCCTTTGATACTGTGAAGAACCATGAAATCGCTTCAAAGCTAAAAACAAAACACCACAACACTCAGTTTTACCTATTCCACAGTTTCTAGAAACTCATCTTTTCCCACAAGGACCCAACCTTTGCTAAAATACAAAAGTTTTCTACTTTAAGAAGCTAAGAAAAACAGTGATTTGCTTTGTGACTTAGTTTTTGCTTGCTGATTGCAATGCAATGATAATAGCAGGGTGGCAAAATCTTTGGCTACAGCAAATTGAAGGAGTCCAAACGCAGCAGCCATAGATACAGAAATTAAAGAAAAGAGCTGCTTACCTTTGGAAGAACTCAGGTAGGCAGGGATTTCCACTCCTTCACCTCCACTGCCAACCTTTAGATGAGGGCTGGCAAGGGGTGGATCCTGGCTTCAGCCCTTCTGGTCACTCAGGTGCACTGCTTACACCTGAGCTCCCCTGAGTTGGCCCTGCCTTCCACCAGGTGCTCAATCACTGCTTCAGGCCATGACAGCATTTCCACTACACTGGTTTTCTGGAATGAAGGGTACCCTCTTTACTTGTGTTTTGCTGTGACGGATTAGAAGATTTGAGAGGCATTCCTTTGTTTTTTTTTTTTTTATTTAAGTGAAATATCTGACCTTGAAACGTTCCCAAAGCAAACTGCTTGGAATTGTTCTACCTGGGCCACAAAGTGCCAAACAGTCTTTTCACTGGAGGACATTCAAAGCTGTTTACCATCTTCTGCTGAAATTCCAGACAAACCACATCTTTTGTTAGGCCAATGTCTGTAATTTTGCTTGATGAATTTAGTGGACTGTGGGGAAGATGATCACTGATTCTTGTAAAGCAAAATGCTACCTGAAGTCATTTGGATGGAAGACCAAAGACTGTAACTACGTTGTGCTGATAAAGAGAAAAGTGAAATCTGGAACCCAATGTGCTCATCACAACCTTCTGAAGATGCAGAGAAAGAAGAACCACTGTGAGTTACCTTTGGCACAGCTCAGCTCATCACCTCTATCAATAAGAAGATATCTGGGACTTTCAGGAAACCATGGCAGGAACAAAAGTTGGGCAAATGCTGGAACACAGCTGCTGGATAGCAAAAGTGGCCAATATGCTTCTGCACCTAAAATTTCCCTGGGAGAGACGTGGGGAGAAAGCAAGATGTTTGCCTTTCAATAAATGCTTCTTGCAACTAAATCTTGTGAACCTCAACAGAAAGAGGTTTGCAAAGCATCTTCCATCCACCCTGAAAACAGGTTTCAGTCAGGAAGAAACAAGCAATGCTGCTTTCCTGCTGCTTAATGCTGTGCTGACTCCAAGAATTAGCTTCAGGTTTGCTGTGGCAGTGTTTTCTAGCAATATAGGAACATAAAAGCATCAGAACTTCACCTCAAGGTTAGCACTGAAACTCCCAACTGCTTGAGTATGATACAATAATTCACCTTTAAAAGGAAAGCAGAAAGTCACCTGATCCCACCTCCCATTCACAGCTGATCTAATGAGGTGTATTTACATAGAAATGAATTGTTGAAGTTGGTACAGTTAGAATCAACAGGATGAGGAATGGTGGGCAACAGAAACGCATCCAATAGAAAGCATTTTGCATTTTACATACTGACCTCAGATTAGGCAGCCTAAGTCTGTATTCTAATTTATGTTGTAGCACTTCACACATACAGTAATCAGCAAAATCAGTTAATTCAGAAGATGGAATAAGGATCTTCTAAGGGCCTTGGATAGAGGGACAGAGAAAAGAGGAAAGAAAAGATGAAGCAGATAACATGCTGTGACAGGAGGAAGCTTGTGCAGACTTCATGAAAGAAGCTTTATTATCTACAGTTTTTCAGGAACCAACTGTACGAAGTCCCCAGCAACCTCATCTGTTCTCACAAGGCAGAAAAACAGCAGCAGTGCTACTATAAAGAAATTCAGAGGCCCTCCCTCTGAATGCATTTAGTTATAACCCACTATCCCCAACAAAAACATGAACTGTGTCCATTTCCTGGTGCCATTCTATTTGACATATCTAAACTGAGAATAATTCCCTTGGGAGATAGATAGTACAGATAGTTTGGAATTTTAAGAACAAAATGGCAAAAGTAGGTTTTTCAGGTTTTTCTGTTACACCTTCAGTATAAGTTGATTCAGTAGTGCTACAGTGAGGATCCTTCAGGAAGCTGCAGGGAATTGCAATTCCTTACACACAAGTAATGTGAGGTAGAAAAGTACATATATTTCTAACCTCAAACCAATTATTTGTCCTGTCAGAATGCCCCCAGTCAGAAAGATGGAGCTACCCATGGCCATTCCTCCTCGGAGATGTTTTGGGGCAACCTCCCCAAGGTACAAGGGTTGCACACAGAGCCCAACACCTGCAAGTCAAAGGAGAAACATTTTTCTATGAACAGACCGTACCTTAGCAACTTTCCACACACCATGTGCTACTCAGCACTTAACCCTGGCTATCTGTGCTCAAGAACACTCAGTCCTTCACCAGACACTGTTTATTGAACAATGATGTCATTAGGAAATATTACCTTATTCTGGCTAATTACAACCACACCAAAGATATGGTTCTTCATGCCTTTGCAAGCAGGTGTAATGCTATAACGAGATGGAAAGTACCATGATAATAGCAGGGTGGCAAAGTCTTTGGCTGCAGCAAATGAAAACAAGTCCAGATGCAACAGCCACAGATACAGCAATGAAGGAAAAGAGCTACTTGCCTTTGGAAGGCCTCAGATAGGCAGGGATTTCTAACAAGAACAACCCTCACCTCCACTGCCAACCCTTAAATGAGGGCTGGGAAGGGCTGCTTCCTTGCTCCATCCCTTCTCGTTACTTAAGTACACTGAATGCAGCTGAGCTCCCCTGGGTTGGCCCTGCCTTCCCACCAGGTGCTCCATCACTGCTTCAGGCTGTGACTCAACATTTCCACTACAACAGCTCACACAATGGTAGGTCAGCAATACAGGACTCGAGTCTTCTCAGTCTCCAGGTTTTGTTTTGAAACATAACACTTAACCAAAACACGTAGGAAATGGGGCTTTTTCTGTGAATTCATCTGCCTTCAAAGTCCAAATTAAACAGCAGAATGTCTTTCAGATCAAATCCACAGAGCAGCACACAAGGACATAATGTCATAACTAAAGACTCACCACTAACATTAAGTCACCATACACCACAGCTTATTGAAAGCAGGGATAGGAAATCCCTTACCTGAATTTATGCCAATCAAAAACCTTCCAACGATCAGCAACTCAAACAATCCTGTTGGAAAACTGATCCCCATTAAAATGGCAGCCAGTATGGCTATAATGTTGTTCATCAGAAGGGCTCCTTTCCTGAAAGGGAAAAAAAAATGCTTTATTTTTTGGTAACATGGACAAATGGGCTTTGGTCTGAAGAGACGTGCTGCTCACTGGAAATCTGATACAACTGTTCACTCACATCTAAAAACAGCCATGTCATGGTAGGAACGTGGCTTTATTCGTTCACACTGTTTATATGGAATGTCAATGAAATATTTCACATCACACAGCACGTCCTTACCATTAACACAGGGCACAGATGTACACTTCTGGGAAATGTGTTTTCACACAGTATTTCCATACTCTTGGAAGTACTCCTAGGAAGAAAGTAGGGAGAGAAAATGTGCTCTGTGTGTTCTTGTCCCTGTAACTCACCTGCCCAGCTGAATTGCCATGCTGCCTCCAATGAGGGCTCCACAGAGGCCACCAAGTGAAAAGATAGAAGCAATGACAGACCAAAGAAAAGTCAGCAGGTTGGGGTTGAGTTCCACGTGATAACGACTGGCCCAGGTTTCATTTAAGAACTTGTGTATGTGCTGCAGTAGAGACAGAATGGTGTAAGTACAGCATTCCACCTAGCCCTACAGCATGCTATGAGGAGTCACACCTAAATCCTAAATCCCACTCTGGGAGCCAACAAGCACAGTCTTCTCTGACACAGCACATAGATGCAATAACAGATGCAACACTCCCGGCTCAATGGAAGATGTTACTTGCTTTATTCTGTCAATTATTCTAAAGCAGTTACACAGGAAAGCTGAATTACCACAAAGCAAAATACTTTACCTGAGTGGGGGCGTTGATAATGGAAACGTTATATCCATACTGAAAGGTCCCTCCAATTCCCACCGAGCAGACAGCCAGAAACAACGTCCAGCTGGGAAACTAGGGAACAAGAGGGTTAGGAATGAACACTGTCAGGCCCTCGAACTCATATGTGTTTAACACCTAGGAGAAAAATGAGCGGGGTAATCAGGGACTTTTTGGACTGTGAAAGTATTTGGTTAGAAAACGATATCAGCGTTCTGCACCATCCGTGCTGTTCATGGTCTCAATTTTTATACAGAATTTTAGAACCTAACAGGAATAAAATCAGAGTAACATTTCCATTAGATGCCTTATGGTTCCCTGAGGATAAAAAGTATTTGTCTGAATGACAGCCAAGGCAATGAATTAACAGTAAGCAATAAGGGTTGCGGTGAAGTGGCAGGAAAACAAAACCAACACATGCCAAACACAGCACTGCCCACTCAAACCTTCCCATTAACCAAGTACCATCCACATATCTCGTGTGCCTCATGGGCTGCATGCCCTGCAACCACCCTCATTTTGCTTCCATGAGGAGTGCCTGTGGCAGCAGGCTCCCAGATGGTGCCGTGTGCCTCTACCTCAGTTAGGAGGTGCTATTTTTGAACCAGCAGAACAGTTTGGAATGAGTAAAATAAGACCAAGAACCCCAGCATCAGAAATACGTGAATGGGAACTGTGATCAACTTCCACTTGAGTACAAACAAAACAGGGAAAAAGCAATGCTGATCACATCTCACAATTTGCTTCTTGCTGAGAACTGCAATCTCTCCATTCCCATTTTTTCTTCTTCCAGCAGTAATATGAAGTTTCGTGCATAACTTCAAGTCTAAAATAGTCCAAAGTCAAGATAATCCTGGCAATGATTTTCTATGCCTGCTAAAGACGTGGTTTTAATCTACATAACAGAACCACAGCCATCGAAGCACGCTTAGAGGGAACAACCAAGAAACAGCATAATCCTGAGCAAGAACTACAAAAATGCAGCAGCAGCAACACAGCCATAAGAGCAGCACAGAGATTTGGTTCCCTGCTGACCCACTTCTCTGAACAAGGCCTTCGTTCACCCTCACCTCATGCTCCTTATCTGCCAAGCAGCAGGGTAAGAATTCTTGCGATGGACTCCAAGCTCCATTCAGGCCAATCATGAAAAATCATTATTTTACATTTATCTGACTGCACTCCAAATAGATTAATCTATTCTGAACTGTATAGTTACATTTTAATTGAAGTTGGAAATAGCACAGGAAGATTTATTTAATATGAAGGGTATGCTATGCCTAATTGTGCATGTATTCATATGCCCCATACACCGTGGCACCACGAACACATACTATATATGTACTAAGCCTGTAACATGTAGATGCACATCTCTCCAGCCACATCCCCCCACTGTAGCAGAAAGCTCCAGGACTACCAGTGTACCTGCCCCATTGCTAACACAAAGCCCCAGCAAGGCACCTAAGCCACGAATGGTTACAGGACACAGCTTTACAATACCTTATGCTCCCTGTTTGCTTACACGAGGTGTAGCAGACGGATTTACTGATTGTATACATCATGACAGGTCAGCAACACCTGCATATAACACCTGCTATGATGAGCTGCAGGCTCATTCCTTCCTCCTGTGCCTCTCTTGCTCTTTTGAGCCTCTGGTTCCAGAGTGAGAGCTAAAGTGAGAAGACACCCAGGGGGTCAAGAAAGGAGCTGAAGATCACTGACCCAAACCATGCTCTCCACCTTTCCTCCTGCCCACGTCAGCTTGCTCATTCCCCTCATCTGCTGTGTCACGTGTGCTGCACTTTGGGCCCAGATTTCTTAGCCCACAGACAACAGCCTCGTGTGTTTCACGAGTTATTGCACTCGTGATGGTTTATGAGCATTCCAAGAAATTAACCATGAGAAAAGCAGGGAGTTTCACAACCGTGCAGCACTGCTAGAGCCACAGACTTTTCACAGGACCCATCTGTGAGGCCACAGACCTCTGCTTACCTTACTGGGTGCGCTCAGCAGGGGCCGGGACTCCATTCACAGCATGGGCTGAATTAGATTTCCTTTGCAAAAATTAGTAAACTACACTACAGGGTTAAAAGGTGCCAAAGAAACTGAGTTATTATTGTAGGAAAACACAGATGTTTGCGCTCCGCCTCCAGCCCGGGGGATCCTTCTCAACCCTTTTGAAGAAGGAAATCAGAGTGGCTGAGGATGGAGGGGAGCTCGGGGATCCCCCAGCCCTGCCGTGTGCCGGCTGCCCACAGCTCAGGCTGCTCAGAGCCCATCCACGGCCTCGGGCACCTCCAGGGATGGGCAGCACAGCTCTGGGCAGCACCGCCCTAAAGCCCAGCGCTCATAAAGCTGACAACAGAAGCTCACGGCACGACAGCAACAACTCCCGGTAACACATTTAACACCCGAGCAGAAAATACCCTTCAGCCACCCGCCAGCGTCCGACCTCGGCTCCCAACGAGCCCCGCACGCCGTTACCTGGCGCTCCGCAGCCATGCCCGCCCGCAGCGCCGCTCAGCGCCCAGCTGACCGCGATCGGGTCCCGGGGATCAGCGGCGCCGGGCGCACGGCGGCTCTGCCCCGCCGCTCCGTGACCGGGCTGCAGCGGGCGGCGCTCGGGCAGGGCAGGGCCGGGCTGGGCGCTCTGCCCCGCGGCTGCGACGGCACGGCTGAACCGCAGCGCAGCCCCAGCCCCGCGCCGCGGCTCCGGCCGCCCGGCACTACATCTCCCGTCGCGCCCCGCGGCGGCCGCAGGACTACAGGTCCCGGCGTGCCCCGCCAGCCCCCTCGGAGCGGGGCGAAAGGCCTGGAAGCGAGCGGGGCTGCGGCGGTGCCGTCCGAGTTCGGGCGCGGCCCGGCGGCGAGCGCTCCGGCGGCGACGAGCGGGGCGACCGCGGGTCCGGCGTTGCCGCGGGTCGGGCCGGGTGCCGTCGGGGCGGAGGGAGGCGGCGGGGCCTCCCGAGGGAGCTCGGAGCCGACGGCCCGTTCCTCCCCGGCCGGAGGAATGGCAGCGCTGGGCAGATCCTGCCAGGGCATCCCCGCGGGTCCCGCGCTGGAGTTCCCGCAGGCCGCCGCCCCCGACCGCCCCGTCCTGCCCGGCGACGCCGCGGGCTGCGCGCGGATGGTGGCGGACGGCGGCGACGGCGGCCGCGGCTCTTCCGGCGTGTGTCCGCCCGGCGGCTTTGACATCGCGTCGTTGGCCGCGCTCGGGAGTTACAACGAAGGCGTGGCCGTGCCGCCCGTGGGATCCTTCACCCACCCGCAGCAGAGCCACAGCCGGTGAGTGCGGAGCGGCCGGGAGCCCTCGCGGATCCGCCTTTAGTTCCCGGGGCGGTCGTGGTTTGTTTTGTTCCGGTACTGTGGTATCTGCGCGTTAGGATCGCGTCGCTTGCTTCGCTGCCTTGAAGTCTGTTGCTGAGGGGTGAAGAAGGCTTCAAAAACGAAAGGAACGTGGGCGAATTTACTGAGACCCTGATCATAGGCTCGTGGAATGGCCGAGGGGAGCTCAGGGATCCCCCAGCCCTGCCGTGTGCTGGCTGCCCCCAGCTCCGGCTGCCCAGGGCCCATCCATGGCCTCGGGCACCTCCAGGGATGGGCAGCACAGCTCTGGGCAGCACTGCCAGGGCCTCACTGCCCTCTGAGTGAGGAATTGCTTCCTCTCATCCAACCTCAGTCTCCCTTCTTTTATTTTAAAGCCACTCCCCCGCGTGCTGTCACTATTAGACCATGCAATAAGTCACTCCTCTCTTGCTTGCAAGCACCCTGCAAGTACTGGATGGCTGCAGTGAGCTCTCCCTGCAGCCTTCTCTTCTCCTGGCTGCTCTGAGTGGTTTCTCCCAGTCTGGACATGTATCTGGGATTGCCCCAACCCAACTGCAACACATTGCTCTTGGCTTTGTTATACATCAGTAGCTTCTCACGTGCCCAATTTTTGAGCCTTCTAAGATAAGCTCTTAAGCTCTGATGCCTTTTAAAAATCAGATTGCTTTTTGAAATATATGAACACAACACTTTTACATAAAGACTTGCACAGTTCTGTCAAACTTTGCTGGTTGGTTACATTTCATTTGAGCATGTTGCCATGAGATAACGTATTAACAGGCTGAAGTCAGATCACACACTGCTTCCTTTAGCATTTGCATGGTAGCACAGTTGGACTTGGTGAAAAAAATAACTGACATAAAGGAGAAGAAAGGATCGGGCACGGAGAGCTCAGCGATTACAGCCTTCCATGACTTTATTTGGAACAAAACGGGCCTTTTAATCAGAAATTTCTGCTCCCCTCACAGTGGTGACTCATGGCAACTGTTGCTCTTAGCATTGTTCAGGCTGTGAGTGAAGTTTGAAAATCAATGTCACAGGAACCAGCCAATAACTATTTCTCTCTGTTTTGCAGCGTGTCTGTTCGATGTGGAAAGAAGCATAAGCTAGAAGAAGAGTCAGAAGGGTAAATTGAATTTGTGTTTTATACCCTGAAAAGAATTAATTTCAATAAGTATTTGAGCACATCTTATCTACAAAATACATAGGAATGGAACTGCTTCCATCGCTTCAGTTTGGAACTTCCACTGAATTGCTCATAAGTCCAAACCCACTGCAGTTTCCTCATTAATTGTATAGTACTGATTTTCTTGCGTGGGTACCCATGTTTTAATAAGAGCAATGTTGATGTATTATTTTGTAGATGTTTCCTTTTTGCAGTTTGCCAAGCTGGGTGAAATACACGTGGCTTTCTCTAACGTATTGTCCTGTAGAAAACCACGTTTCTCTTTGGTCAATTGTAACTTGTTTTGTTTCCTAGTTGTCCTGTGAAGAAGAAGAGACTGACAGGAGCCAAAAACTGCCCTCAGAATCCCAGCACTGAAGAGTGGATTCTCTGTGCAGGTCAGCAGGCAGCTGGGGAGGTAGCAACAAGTCAGTATGGTGGTAGCCATCCTGAAACTGCCATGTTAGAAATTCCCTGTGAAGAAATGGAGCAGACAATGGGGGAGCAGCAATGCGAGGTTGCTCGCAGGAAGCTTCAGGAAATTGAGGACAGGTAAATGCAGGGATTGACTGGGTTGGCTTTACTAAGCTTTACCTTTTTTTTGTGGATATTAAAGGGCAAAACCAGCATTTACAATATGTTACCTGACTGCTGAGTGTGGGATGAACCTTCTGTGTGAGTGGTCTCTTTGTAAGCTGCCTGTGGTTTTCTGAGTGTTGTGGTTGATAATGTGATCTGAACTTGATGCAAGGAGATGCTGAATAAGTAACAATCTCCTCAGAATCATCACACAGCATCAATATGCTATACTGGGTCTTTAGCTTTTTTTGTGTGTATCCAGAGCTCACATTTTTAATTTACATTATCTATTCAGAATTGAGCTCAGCTTGTTGTTTTTTTTTCCTCCTCAACAAATCACAGCTTGTTCTATGATTAATACTAAAAATGCTTGGGATAGGTATGAATTTGTGAGCATGAATCAGAGATCTCTTTCCTCATATGTAAGTCTGAGGTTCATCTTATTAACTATCAGGTGGCTTGGGAGTGGGAAATGGGGTGGCTCTTGTCAGTCCTCTACAGTCATGTAATAAATGTACTGTGCATTCTTGCCTTTCAAAGACTTTTGGGAATGTCATGTGTATATATCAGTTGACTGCAGCTGAGCTGCTATTCCAAAATACTCTAAAATGCCTGCTGCAGGCAGCTAGAGAAGCAAAGAAGTTATATAAGTTTAAAAACCAATTTTTTTTTAGATGAGTACTTAGATGGGTGAAAGGGTGTGTTTTTCATGGGTAAATAAGAGCAGTCATTTTTCTTCATTTGGCTATACCTGCATTACAAAGTATGTTTTATGCCTCTCAGAGGATTATTTCCCACCTTTCTCATCTACTCTACTAAATTTTCTTCAAAAGTTTTATCAAAAATAGAGGAGATGCCTCCAGTTTGATCTGGATTCCTCAACTTTTTGTACTGTTTTAATCTCAGATTGATGCAAAGTCTTTCAAGATTAAGAAATATATTCAGTAGCTCTTCATTAATTCTCAAAATTAACAGATGGGGAACTGAGCAGGCAAAGTTACTGGGAAACTGAGACTCACTGTTGTAATAGGACTGAATTGTATGCTTTCCTCAGAAGTGAATGTGGTTTATGTTTTCTTAGTGTCATTGTGCACTGCTGGACGATGCAAAGATAACAAAGCTAGCTCAGGTACCAGAAGCTGCTCGAGTGGCTTCTATGGTTGCAATCATTCCTAGGGTATATTGGCCCAAAAGAGACTCATGTTAACATGGCCCCGCTGCTTCTGGTACCCCAGCCTAGGCCAGATATCTGCACTGTACAGTGCAGTGCACATGGGTAGAACTGTAGTCTGCAGTGGATGTGCCTGTTAAAAGTATGCTCAATAGTGTTTATTTCCCTCTTCCCCCTCCATTCCTAGGATAATTGATGAAGATGAGGAAGTTCATGCTGATGGAAATGTTAGCAATCTGCCCACTCTTATCCTGTCAGATACCCTTAAAAAAGGGATGAAGAGGGATTTTGGTGAAGTCCTGACAAAGAAAATAATAGAGTCTATGTAAGTGCTGGAGGAAATCATGGTGCTACGTAGCTAACACGTGCAAATGAAATGAGACACACAGTCTTGTGTTTGTGGAGACGTCCTGAATTAGTGCATGGTGCAGCCAGCGTTGTGTAACAGACCACTCACCTGGTCAAAAACAGGAAAAATTGTCCTTGTGTAAAACAGAATTAAGTGTAACTGCAGTGGTCTGGTTTGTACCCCTGATTTGTACAGGGTGAAATATTTTGAATAAACGGTTATGTCCTCATTGTTATGTGTGTGGGTTTCCCAAAGAAGGTCCTCACATGTGACCAACAGTGCTCATGGAAAACACAGGGTTAGAACTCGAAGTAATGGAACTAGTTAAGGAAAAGAAAATTGAATAGGCAAAAAGTTGGAATGTGCATCCTGGAATATTGTTCCAGGCTAGCACAGTGCATGAAGATATTCACTGGTCTTCTGCATTTAGCAGTTGTGACTGCAGAATTTTAATTTAACTGACTCTCCATCTCTTCTAGGAGCCGTCCTTCTATGGAGCTGGTGCTTTGGAAACCACTTCCTGAATTTCTCACAGATAAACTGAAGCCTGTTTCTGTTAAGAACTTCAGGCAGCAGAGTACTGAAGGGTGTCAAGCTAAGCAGTCAACACCAAGAGCTGCTTTTGACCCACAGACTGAAACATTCCCTGAATCACAACAGACTGCCATGTCTCCAGATCCATATGCTAGTTTGGGAATCTCTGGATGTGCAGAAGAAGAAATGGAGCTGTAGATGCCAAATTGTAGACTGAAAGTGGTGACCTTGTGATGGTTTTTTTGTTGCTGTTGTTGTTATTTTGATACCTTCTTTCCTTCTGGTTTGTGTGAATCTGAAGTTTGGTTATGTTTTTTTGTTTTCCTAGTAGCAATTGTAAGAACATGGGTTGGCCACACACAACTTTGGGAAACGTTATAAAAAGATAATTCTGGTCTGTTAAATATTCTCATTTTTACTGAGAAGGCAATCCAGAGGCCTTTGGAACAAGGAAGCAGCTTTCCATCTTTGTTAATGATGAAATATCCTCCTAATGTCCCTGGAAAGGTTAAAAATCCAATTAACTGAATGTTATGGTGGCTTAAGCCATGCTTCTCACTTACTGAGCCATTTAGATTGGTGCATATACTATGCTTGGTCAGTTACTTTTATTCACATTAGAGAAAGGTATTGGAAGGAAGACAAACTCCTGAGTCTAGTCAGAGACAGGAAAGTCACCCCTGTAGAAATACAGCTCTTCACACAATTGCTTGCACTTGATGTAAACTCCAATATTGAAATGATGTGTTCTGCAGCTCGGTAAGGAAGGAGTGTTATGGCTGAGCAGAACCTCTTGCTTTGTGGAAAGTAAAACTGGCTACTAACTTGTAAGGTATCTATTAACTATGGTCCTCTTTGGTTTATGGTCTCATAAATGTGAGGTTTTTAATGCCCCTCCTCTCCCAGTGGCACAAAGTCTAGAGAGAAGTGGTTCCCAAGCCAACTGATGCACATCTGACATTGTGATGTGATTCTTTATAAGCACAGAGTTGGCAAGTCAGTTCAAGACAACATAACTTGACTAAATAAGAAATATCCTTTAATTTTGCTAAAGATGGTATAGATCAGATAAGAGGGAGCTGATTTTCTGGGGTAAAGGGGGTCAAATGCTGAATGCCTTTGAGACTTTGAGATTGCTGACACTGTTGGTGAAGAAGATGCTTGTTTGCATGAGGAAACCTAGATTTATGGGCTAAGCTAGAACATGCCATTAACATGATGCCACACAGTTTATACAGATATATGCCAAAATAATTTTGTATCCTGCTTAGATTGTTAAGGAATCCTCAATGCACTGTGGCTCACAGCTTTTCTCCACGCACACTGCTATTACACTCATATAAGGCAGAGAACGTCATCTTCTGGTCTCCAGTCCTCAGCCTTTTCCAGAGAAACCAAAATTGAGGCTTTTCTTGAGAAAAATTCCTTTCCAAGTAATAGATTCTGTCTCCACATCCCAGTCTGTGTTTGACATCCTGCTAGCATGAAGGAGCAAGTCCACTGACCTCAGTAACACAGCTGTCTGCATAAGAAAAATTATTCATCCTGTGCACAGCTAATTGATAATCCTTGTGGGTTTTTTAAATGTTTAAATAAGTCACAGTTGACAGTTTGATTTTAAACTTCTGTTTTTGCAGTCATTCTTTTTTGGCTCAGAACAGCAGCTTTCTTTGAAAGTTATCCCTGTTATATATATCTTGCTCTTCTTGTTGAAGGCTTTCTGACATTTGCTGTCTCTGGATAAAATATTTCAGAGCTTCACTAAAAACATTCCAACACTTGAATAGGTTTTATGCTGAAAACTGGTATCTAAGTACCATTCTGGGACTTTGGTGAGCGTGTGCAGCTTTTTCTTGCTCTTATATCTATTTCAGAGTTACAAATCTCTTGCATGTAACGTGTAAAATTTCTTATGTATTATTGTACTGTTGAACTTGCTTAAAACAAACAGCCTTTGATCTGCTGCTACATGGCTTGAGTACAAAGTAATGCAGCTTGGGGCAGGCTGCAGTCATTGCGGGTAGAAAACGTGGTGCCTCTAAATATCTATTTTTAAGGTTGCAGGATTGTAGTGAAAGCTTAAGGTTGGGACTGACTTTGCTGATAGCTCTGATGCTAAATAAATGGAAAAGGAAGGATAACAATTCCAAAAACGTGATGAAACCATCTCTGCAACACTTAAATTTTGGCATAGGGTACAGAAAACTGAGAAGCCAAGATGTTAAATGTAGACAGTTTCCTCCCTACTCAAAATACTGAATGACAAATTGTCCATTAAATTAACAAATACTGACCTCTGTTATTCTGCCACCCGAAAGAAGAATCTACTGGCAGACTATTGACAAAGACCACGAGATGGGAAAGAACTGCAAAGTACATTTGCTTTGGTTTAGATTTATTTTAAAATTTGTCTAACTTATTTATGCTGTTACTACGAGAGAAGAGGGCTGAAGTGCTTCAATTGGTGGGGGAAGAAAAGCATGGGTAGAAGTAGGAACCAGTTATCCAGAAGGAGTGAACAAAATCATTGCTCTAGTAACCAGGGAGGACAAACTACCAGGGATTGTAACCAGGGAGGACAAACTACCAGGGATTTTCACACTTCTGTATTTGTAAGAGTTTGATTTGTTGTTGCCTTCCTTAAGAGACTATTAACTCTGTTTGCAAGGAAGAATAGAAACATGATGCAGTATTAGGAAAAAGTTTTATTTTGAAATATGGAAGATCTGATTCTGGTCTGTCTTCTCTCGGGGCCAAATCACCATTTGTATGTGAGTTTTTCAATAAATTTTCTGAAGTATTTTTAGATGGTGCAATTCCTTAATCGTATGAACTACATAAAAACAGTATGGTAACCAGGTACAAGTCACTAGGCTCAAGTCTGGGAGATGTTGGTGCTAGCAAAAATCCTGAGTTCTATGAAGCTTCAACATACCTAACATGAGATGTGTGCTTTCTGGGGAGCGAGCCCAGTAAATACCACCAGCCTGTAGCAGAACCCACACTGACAGTAAGCCTTGATAAGCCATGCCTTGAAGCATCTCCAGCTGTGAAGATGAAAAGAGGGAACAAGATGGCATAAGTAGAACTCCACTTTTGTCTGCCCTGTTTTAACAAGTTTCGGGTGTAAATTTAAACTGGCCATTTCCAAATGTGATCAATGGACACCAGGTTGTTAAAGACCTAACATTTGATGTGTTTTGATCTCTGAAGTAAGTGGAAATAATAAGCTCCTGAAAACAGGTAATCTATATCCATGTCACTGGGTGGCAGTGTTGCTGCTACTTTGATTAATCACACCTGGGGAGCTGTGCAGTAAGAGAGTTAAAGCTGTTTTCAACAGCAAGTACTGAGCATTATCCCATTTACTTCATTTTACATGACCTTTGTAGTTCATCCCATGCATATTCACTCACAGTGCTGCAACTGCACTGGTCAGCACAGGTCCAGCCCTCCAAAGATCAGAGGAGCAGGTACAGGCACCTATGCTAGCTTCAGGTACAAAAGTGCAGAAAGACCCCACTCTCCAGAAACACCTACAGAGTTCAAAGCTTCCAGAGGCCTAGAAAGTCCCTCCCCCCCCTCTACTGACATACAAGGCAAGAAATGAGCTGCACTGCACTTTAATTGCACCAATACAGTTAAATAAAATGGAGAAAGCAATTCTACATAGCCAACAGAAAACAAGCATTTACACAGTAAATCTGTAAAATGTACAGACCATTTAGTTTTAACCCAGCTGTCTAAACATGGATGTCCCAGTAACGCTTCTGGTGTTAAGAGTACTTTGATTTTCAGGTTCATTCCAAGTTGCCAAGTTACTGAGAAATTAAGTTTTTCTCCTAAGAGAACACTGAATAGGAGCAGCAGGAGACAAAAACACTATTTTTTTTTCCTTACCAGTAGAAATGAATGGCCATCACTACATCTACCAGCATTCATAGGAAGAAACAAGCAACGCTTTTCTGAATACAATCAATTCTACCCCTCTCCACCCCCCAGAAGGGCATATCCTGTTACCCTGCCAGAAGATAACCAGGGACAATTAACACTACCGAGTTAGACACTGATCAGTTGAGGAAAGAGTTCATTGGCAAAGCTATCCTCCCAAGTGTGGTCAGTGTCAAGAGGAGAGGGCATGTCACTGAAAGGTGACAGGGATCCTTCATATCCAGAGTCACTACCAGCATCCAGCAGATAGCTTGAGGCTGCAAAGCTATGATGAGAGGGAAGCAGATGAGAGATACCCAGCTCAGGCATTAAGCTGTCTACAGGTTCCTCTTTCACAGATACTGGGACCTCAGCAATAGCTTTGTCTTCAGACGGAGAGAGAGACACCTCCTCAATTTTCACAAGCATATTGGTTTCATTGCCCATTTTAACCGGGAACTCCAGTATTAAGGGTTTTGTGTACACATGATCAAACCTTATGAGTTCATTAATGGCCTCCAGCTTAGCTGATGGGGACCCCAGAGAGGGAGAGGGGGAGGTTGGTATGGAATTTGTTTCTCCACACATCTCTTCCTCCAGCTTTTCCAGGCTGGATGATTCTGAATCAGCACATTTGAGAAACATTTCTGGGTCCAGAATGTCCAGTAATCCGAACAGGAGATCAGACTGCAGAATAAAATACTGTTTTAGAAAGATAGCTTACTACTGTAACAATGCGCTCACTGTGGCATAAGTTCACTTTCATCTGAAAAGAAAGATACACTAATATCACCACACAACTGCAATTTTATCAAGAGCAACTTGTAAAAAATTACTGATACTGGTAAGACAGTCATTGATCAGAACTACTTTGTTCATTAACTCTAGAGAGTAGAGTAGTAGTAGAGGTTTCCTAACTTTGCACTGACTGCATATTCATACACCCTCATTATCTTAGACTCTTCACATGCCAACACCACAGTACCTAAGGGCTCTAGAGAGCAAGTACAAGAACCAGGCACAGGCAGATCTGCCCATGACCAAAAGGTATGGAAGATTTCAGAGTCTTCAGTGTAGGAAGAAACTCATTGTCTTCAAGCTCCAACTAAGCATAGTCATCAATAACCAAGTTTGTTTTCAGCAAAATTACAGTATGTAGTCAGCATCTGTATGCTTTTGCTCTATAAGCTAGAAGACTGTCCAGGCAATATTTTCTAAAATAACAGAAACTGAACTTGTTGAAGTTGCATTAACATCTGCTGGACTCATGGGATACCCATTAGGTCTTAAGCCACAAGTAGGGTATTCCAAAGCTTAATAAACAAGCTGTCAAAGATCAGAGACTTCCTATTAAAAAGCTTTGAAATAAGTCCTTAGACTATGTAGGACAGGAGCAGATGCTCACCTCAGAATCTGAAGAGTCACTGCCATCAGAATCCATGTGGAGGTTGTCAGAAGTGGTGACAGCTGGGCCTGCACCTGCTGCAGAGGAACACGTAGTCTGAGTGCTGCGGACTCAGCGGACCCGGTCACCAACCCGATGTCATCCACCTGGGATTCCTTCACAACCTGCATGAGGAAAAAGCCCCATCAGTCACAAGTGTTCTGGCAGGCAAGATGGCACCCTCAAGATCGTGCACTTCTGCAAACACTTCCATTAGGTTCTTTGCTTACTGTGCGTTATCTCATGAGGTGAAACCATTTTCTACGGTGGCTCGAGCCTCCCCAGCCCTAGAAATCCACCTTGCTCACCACTGTTCTTTTGAGACACGCATAACAGCTTTCTTTCCCTCCACCCCTGGAGGTGCCCGAGGCCACGGATGTACCCCGGGCAGCCAGAACTGGTGGGGGGGCAGCCAGCAGAAGCGAGTCTGGCTGATCTTTACGGTTCCCTCCAAGCTCAGCCCTTCCACGTTCCCACATGACACAGAGCACAGCCGCACACAGCCGCTGTTCCTCACCGCACACGGCGCCTGCTCAGCACGCAGCCGCTCCCAGCAGCTCCGCTCCGCCCCACGGCGACGTCAGGGAGCGGCACCGCCGGACTCTGCCCCGCCGGGGGCTGCGGGCACTCACCGTCGGCTCGAACTCCGGCTCTGTCTTCAAAGCGTCCAAGCCCAGGCGGCAGCGGAGCTCCTGGTTCTCCAAGGAGAGGCTGCCCGTCTGCTCCCGCAGCCGTTGGTTCTCCCTCAGCAGCCGTTGGTTCTGCGGATATCGGCGCGCGGTCAGATCGCGTCCCGCAGCCGCCCCGCACCCCCCGGCCCGGCGCTCACCTCCTCCTCCAGCTCCACCACCTGCTGCTCCAGCTCCGTCATCCGCGCCTTCTTCCTGTCCCGGGCGCTCTGAGCCGCCACGCGGTTCTTCAGTTTCCTGCGGGGCACATCGCGGTCACGGTGCGGGCACAATGGGGGCACATCGCCCGCAGCGCCCCCGCTCAGCCACCGCCGCCTCCCACTCACCTGCGCAGCGCCTTCTCCTCGGGGCTCAGATGGGTGAGGCGCTGCCGCTTGCGGGCCGGCGGCGGAGCCTCCATGGAGCCGGGAGCCGCCCCCGCGGGCAGCACGACGGATAGGCGGCGGCCGGCGGCGGACTCGGCCGCGTCGCCGGGGAAAAGGAGCAGCTGCGGGGCTCCGCGCAACGCCGCCATCACCGCTCCGCCGGCACAGATCGAGCGGCGCTGCGCCGGCACGGCCGCCCCGCCCGCATTTCTACGGTCGTGGCTCTTCCTGATTGGTCGGGACGGAGTGACGTGCGGCGCCGCGCGGGCAGCGATTGGCTGCGGGAGGGAGCGAGGCCGGGGCGGATTGCATCAGACGGTGGGGGAGGGGTTGGCGCGTGGCGGGGGCTGAGGGCGCGGCTGCCGGCTTTTGTGCGGTGCTCCGTAAAGCCCGACTGCCGCTCCCTGCTGAGCGCTGCGCTGGGTGCTGCTGTCCGCCCACTGTAACGGTGTGCGTTCCCACGTGCGGTGTTAACATCTGGTATAAGGAAGGTGCAGACCCGGCAGCCCAGCCTTGTTGGAAAAGAGGAGTTGAATTAAGCTGGCCGTGAGCTGAGACTCGTTTCCACCGGCATTGTCCGGTCGGTGTGCCGTGCCCGGAGGTGCCCGAGGCCATGGATGGGCCCTGGGCAGCCGAGCTGGGGGCAGGCAGCACACGGCAGGGCTGGGGGGTCCCTGAGATCCCCTCTAACATCTGTGATTTCAGAACGCTTTAATTCTGATTTCTGCCTTTTTGGTTTTGTTTTGTTTTGCCAGCTTGCTGTTCACACATTCCTTTTATTATATTTCTAATTTTTTTTTTTTTTCAATTATTGCATTTAAGCCTGTGATCCACGCATCACTGATTACTTCAGAGGGTTTCTTACCCAGACTTGTAGAAATATCACAGCATGGTTTGGGTTGGAAAGGACCCCGAAGGCCATTTGTTCCCACACCTGCAGTGCACAGGGACACCCACAGCTCCAGCAGTGCTCACAGCCCCGTCCCCTGACCTTGGGTGTCTGCAGGGATGGGGCAGCACCACCTCTGGGTGCTCTGTGCAGTGCCTCACCGCCCCATTGTAAACAACTTTTTCCTTACATCCAATCTAAATCTCCCCTCTCTGAGTTTGAAACCATTTCCCCTTCTGCTGTCACATGGATCCTGCTGAGGACTCTGCCCCTTCTTTCTTACAGCCCCTCTTTAGATCTGTAGTTCCTCACCACGGTCTGAGGATGTGCCAATGAGGATACTGTTGGCTGTCCTGCCAGAAACAACATTAGTTCCTGCCAACAGCTTTTATGTGGTGTGTTCCAGGTGGCCGACCTACCAAAGGAAATCGTTCTGTTTAACAAAGGTGGAGAGGCTTTCCCCTTGTGTAACATCAGATAGGGAAAGAAACATGAGTCGAATGTTATCTACATGTGAAAAAGGGGGTACAGAGGAGGTAAAGAAAATGAGAGCATACAGAGAAAAGATAATTTTACTAATAGTCATAGTCTGAGAAAGAATGTGTTTGCCCAGTGTGTGTCTAGAAACACTTGGAAAGTGGCCTAGGGCCTCCAGCTCATGTCAACAGCTGGCATATTCCCAGATCTGTATCAGTAGGTGATTAAAGAGAAAGGAAACTGTTCTGCAGCCCAAAGCAAGGTTATTCCAAACTTGTAATGTTTGTAATTATCTTTCTCTTCGTTTTAGTTATTCTTACATTTCGTCGACACGCTCTGAGATGGAAGAATGCACGTCTCATAATATGAATCCTCTCTATCTTCAGGTGGAAAATCACCACTGCCTTTCTAAAGGAGACTGCTAACCTGGCTGCTGAGTTTGTTGTCAGCTGGGCAGAGAAGACTTCAGCCCTATGCCTAGGTTTGCTGGGGTGCTGGTAGCACTGTTACTGGAAGATGCCTCATTTTAACATCTTTCCAGATTTGATTAAGCTCTTGGCCCTCGAAAAGGATGGGGCTGTGTGCTGTGAGTGCTCTGTAGAAGTGCTGCTGCTTGAGAGGAATTGTGTCCACCTATATTTAGGGATGCATGATGGTAGTTTGTGTTGGCAGTTACGAGTAAAAGGAAAAAGCAGTGCACTCGCTCGAGATGGATGAGTGCAGCTTTAGGGGAATGTTGCAGAATTAGTTTGGGCAATACAAGAGAGGGAACTTGTTACCCTGCTGTCCCATTGAGCTGACAGCTTGTGTTCTGGATTCTCAGTAAATATTTGATGTGTTGAGTGAGCTTTGAGGAGAGCAGCCAACTGTTGAAATCTCACACACCTAAAAGCTCCTGTTCCGGTAAGTTCTCCTGTTTGCACATCCTGATTCAGAACTGGAGCCTCTTCTTGGAAAACGCTCCAGGAAGTAAACAACTGCGCTCAGTAAAACTGATGGCTGCCTCCTGCTGGTAGGGCCTGGCACCGGGCAGTGCCTCCTGAAAGGAAGCAGCTTCTGCTATTTCTTAGGCTTCACTCCTTGGGTTTTGGGATTCCCTTGGAAATTCAGAGGCTCTGAGAGTCCTGGCAGCTATTTTGCTTTGTCAGGGGACGGGGCTGTGAGCGCTGATGGAGCTGTTGGTGTCCCTGTGCACTGCAGGCAGTGGGAACAGACGGCCTTTGGGGGTCCCTTCCCAAACCCCTCTGTGAGTCCACGATTCCACGATTCTACTTGTGGCAGAACGAAGAGGTGCTGTTTCCAAGCACGAGTCTGGATGTTCATCCTGTTTCCACTTGTCCTCACAGATCGAATGTGGTATATAGTAACCATTGCTTTAGTTTATTTCTCAGTGCTCTTTTCTCTTTCTTTGCTTCCATGTGCTGCTGTGCCCACGTTTTGGTGCGGGCCCTGAAGGCTCACTGCGTGGTGCATGTCTGTCCTGTCTTGCAACTCCCACGTCAGCTTGTACTGCACATCAGACAGGAGTTTGCAGTGACATTTGAGTGCATAAAACGAAAGGCTGTAGGAGACATCTTTAAGTGGGACGGATGTCTCTGGAGAAATCTTGGCTCCTGTCGCACCTTGCTGGGGCGTTCGCCCCGGGCAGAGCGGCTGCTCGGGTACGGGAGGACATCTGCTGGCTGCCGTGCCGCCGTGCAGCCACGGCCGGAGGCGGTGCGATGGGGGAGAAGGGTCTGAAGTTTCGTTTAAGGATTACTTCAATGAAAAACAACCTTCTCGCTCAGATAAGAGTCCAGAAAGTTTCTCTGGTCATCAGAACCCTCTGCTGTTGGTGTTCAATTGCTTCTGATAGCCATTTTAAGCTAAGGTAGATGTCAGCGTGCTACATAGCATGAAGATGGTATGTCCTGAATTCCTCTATGGTTGTTGTTTAATATACACGGGGGGACCTCTGAAACACCAACTGCTTCTTAAATTTGAGTATCAGAACAGCCCAGAATTCCAAACTAAATACTAAATGAATATCTGCAATGTAGGAGGAAGACCTTAAGTCAGTGAGATTCCTCTCCTCTCCTCTCCTCTCCTCTC